TATCTTTCAAATGCAACTGGAATCACGAATTTTGGAGCTGCGAGATGAAAGTTGTGCGCAAAAAGCTACAGCAGCGCAAAGCTGACATCAAGCTTTTAAAAAATCGGTTGATTTATTTTAGAGATTTTAACTTTTCGTTATCTAGTTTGGAGTATATATAAAGAATTTGTTGGAGATGCTCTAATTAACTAGTCATGTTTGATCAACTAAATGATAATGTAAACTAACCTTAAAAACTCTAAATAGAACATATGTTGGTTTAGGTTATTGAACAGAATAGGTTGATTTATCTCGATCCTTCTGCTTATAGGTAACATTTTCATTTTCATTGACTACAAGTGATTTAAGTTTAATCTCTTAGTCGTAACAACTTTGATACGAATTCTGTGACAATTTAAGTTATGTGATTATACGAATTATACGATACCTGCTACTTTGTCTGTGCCCTTCGCTGTGCTGTACATATGAATGAATGTTGAAGGGATTTATAGTGATGTTTCTAGCTGGATGTGTTGTTGAACAGCAACAGACATAAGATATTGGTTGATTTTGTGGGATTTTTTTTTTGTTTTTTGGTTGATGTTACTTGTATTTTTTTCCTCAAAGTTTAGTGGGCACACCCTTCATCCCCAAAAAAAATTTGGTTGCGAAAATCAGTCGAGTGGGTGTATGGGACCTGCTTGGACCTTAATCTGTTGCTGAATGCATTACTACTTAACACTCGTTGAATCTCTGTAATAGTTAATTTGTGTCCATCTTATGTATATAATGTACTTATACTAACAATTGCAACATCTATTATGTTATGGTTATTTTTTTTCCATTGTTCCATTTACCATGGGAGGTTCTAGCTTCACCACTATTTTTGGCTATTTTGTTTTAACCGTTTACTTTGATAATGTTTTGTTTTTCAAATCAACTATGAAATATATATTTTTTAATCACAATCTTATTGAAGATTGTTCTTGATCTTTTATAGTTTTAATTGTGAATAAAATTTTGATTGTTTGTTCAAAGAGTAAACTACAAAACGCAGTCTTCCCTAAAATAGTTGCTCTACTCCCGTTTGAACCGGACTTTCTACTGGGAATTTCTGGTCTGTCTGGTTTGGTTTGGTTTGGTTTTTAGTTAACTTCACTTTGGTCCTTATGATTTACATGATTAAAAGTGATCAAGAGTCCAAATCCCTTCTTAAACTTCTCACCTTCGTCTACTTGCCATTGTATTCATTTTGCTTTAAAGATGGTCCCTAACATTTCTGTTCCGGAGACATATAGGAGGTTGTTGCCATGGTTACTGAAACATTATAGTGGATGTGATGATATTTTTCTGCATTTGACATTTCTGAGCATAGGGTTCTCGGCACTGGGTGAAACTTGGCAAGTGTCTTGGCGGGGCAACCTGAATGTGTTGCAGCCATGGTGATTTCTGATCCCCTTTGTCTGAACCCAAATCTGCAGATCTGAGTTCCTCCAAAAGTGGATTGAAAGGATGCATTTCGGTTTGTAATATAAACAACTCCACACTCAGATAACATGAGGCATTTTCAGAGGGGATGAAGATGATGGTTCCTAAGGGTGGTTGCCCCTTTGATCGTACCAAATTCTGATTTTGACTTCATTTGGTCAAACATCATTCTTTGTGGCCCATGATTTTTTCCCGGTAATCAACAACCCTTCACATAGATTAGCAGTTTCTTTGCTGTTGCTGTTGATCTTGTTATAATCGTTGAGAGTAAACTATACTCTTGGTCCCTCACTAAGGGCCTGTTTGTTAGCCGCTTAATGAGCTTAATGATACATTGCTTATTCGGTTAGCTATACATGACTGTTTTGTAGTGGCTTAATGATATAAAAAGTGGCATATTTTGGTTGGCTACACAAACCTGCCGCTCCCGATTAAAAAATATGGTGCTTCCATCTATTGAAAAACCTTCCCATTCTATACAGATGTATTAATCTGCACAGACAGCTGTATTCATACAGGATTTAATTGGAAACCAACCAAACTGCCCCTAAGGTTTCTTTATCCATCTCTTCTATAAAATGAGATGAGTGGATTATCTTGCCAAGATATGATGGAGATGCTCTTAAGAGGCTATGATGATGAACAAAGTTAGAGATAATTCGCATCTTGGCAGGGTAACCCAAATGGTTATGTGAAAGAAAGAAGACATGATTGTATCTGTTCTTCGACAATGCAACCATTTAGTTTGCAGCCATGGTGGTTTTATTCTCTTTGTTCGATTGTTTTACAAATCTGAGCCTTGAATTTTTATTGACGTTGAAAGCTTTCTTTTTCCTCCAAGCGTTCTCGAATTTAAATAATTGGAGGGAAATGGTAAACATTTGGATATGTAATGTGAACCAGCTCCATTCAGAGAGGGGATGAAAATGATGGTTTCTAAGGGTGGTTGCCCCCCTCTGTTCATACCAAACTCTGATTTTGACTTTATTTAGTCAAACATCCTTCTTTGTGGCTGATGATTTTATCTTGAAATTAACAACCCTTCTCTTTGGAAGCTTTATCTATACACAAGATCAACAGTTTCTTAACTGTTGTTGTTGGTCTTGGTGTTACTTAGGTATATAACCTTCTATAGATGCTCATTTTACAAATGACCTATTCTTGTGGACATTTATTTTGGGACGGAAGGAGTATTTTTGTATATTACGGACTACGTTCATGTGCTTTCTGGGGTTTTCAGTTTTCTGGGTTTCCTCTCTACGATTCTTTATAGTAGAGAAGATACTGTTTTTAGTGATTCTAAGAGGCTGTGATGATGAATCTGAATGCATCTAAATGGATTCAATCAAAGTTAAAGATTATTCGCATCTTGGCAGGGCATCCATTTGCAGCCATGGTGGATTTATCCTCTTTTTCGATTATTTACAGATCTGAGCCGCAATTTTAAACTACAATTTTGGTCCATTTGGTTTACATCCACCTTTGAAACAACATTCCTAAACTTAATTAAGTAGAGTAATGGTCACTGTGGGTTACATTTTGATTTGAAAGTAATAACTTGTGTTAACTTTAAAAATTTGTCTGCTATGTGTGGCTGGATCTGTTTGCATCTTAGTGGATACGATCAAAGTTGAGATTACGTGCATCTTGGCAGGGCAATCAACGAGTAAGTTCTATTGTCTTTGTTTGATCGTTTTACAGACCTGAGCTTCACATTTTTTTCATAGGATCCGTATTGTACATAAATTTTATAATCTGTCCTTCCATTTTGAAATTGTAAGGGGGCTGAGGGGCCGTTTACCTAAACACTTATCCGGTAAGTGCTTAAAGATGAATTCAACTCTATTGCTTACTTATCGGGTAAGATTTTAGTCTATCAAAACGACATCGTATGTAACAATTTACCCAGTAAGCGCTAACCGTGGTAAGAGTCTTCGCCATCACTTACCGGGTAAGACTTTTGGTCCGTGCCTTAACTCTTACCAGGTAAGATTTTTGGTCCTTGCTATATTAATCTAGTAAGGGAATTTGACTTGGTAAGCGTTTATCCGAGTAAGCATTTGGTAAACGGCCCCTGAATGCTTCTTGGTTTTCATTTATATAAATCGCAGACCGTTCTTCAAGTTCTGCATTCATTTTGACGATGCATATATATGATTATTAGATTATCGTTTTGTAAGTTTCTATTCACTCTCTGAACTAATGAATAATGCACTGAATTTTTTAATTAACTGAATAAAGTTATTATAAATGATGGATGGATTAACAAACTTACACAATGCAGGATAATTCAAACACTAGCGCATCTCAACAACGGTTGGTGATGGATGAATTTTTACAAGTTCTTAGACAAGAACCTCTTCACAAGTTTTATCATATTTGTTAGTGATATTTATTTGACTATTGAAACAAATGCTAGACCTTAACTTTCAACTTCCCGAGGGCTCACTTGATGAGCCAGGGACTAATGATGTATTCTCGAAAGCGATGGGAAAAGACAAACATGGCAGCGCTCGCACGTATGGGCTAGATGTTCGAGGTTCAGATATATGGGGTGTCTTGCCAAGTCGCTTTACCTGTTATAGGGAGAACATGTTGTGGAAGAGAGCATATAAAGATGTTAGCAATGAAGTAGCTAAGCTGAAAGCTATGGTATTAGAGATGCGAGGGTCAAATGAAAATATTTCTAGTACTTCAAGTGTTCCCGTGACATCAATAAATCGTCCTAAAGCTACCACCGGACTTCAACCTCTAAAGGTACGTGTCTTTCTAAAACTTAAATCCTAGGGTAAAGCAGTTCCTTAGCTAGAAGAATAAAGTTGTATTCATGTGATTGATGAACATTTTAGAATCTTGTTCGTCAATCTTAGAAGAATAAATTGTACTTCAAGTGTTCCTGTGCATTTTTTTTAATAAAATCTTAGAATCTTAAAATCTTGTTTTTCAATCATGTTTTTGTAAGTTGGGGATGTTGTTCATCTTAAGAGCATCATAAATTCCATGGAAATTGTGGCAAGAGGACGTGTTAAGAGCTTAGATCCAGATGAATTGGTTGGTGGCGAGGAGATTGGTCCAAATTGGTGTGAGGTACTTGTTTTGGTTGCTATTAAAAGGAGGAAACGTTTGGTTAGACCATATGGATTGTTTATTACAATTGAAGACGTTATTGTAGCAACAATCGCATGACTTTGTCCTTTCACTTTGGTATGTTAATCTTTGATAAAGTGTAATTTTTTTTATTATATAACTTTAAGCTCATATATCTGTTTTTAAATTGTAGGTTGTGCATGACGGAGATTGATATCTCTCGTTTGTAGGGCACAATAAGATTTTTGTATTTGCGTTATAATATTACATTTAAAAGCATATATGAGAGTGATTCGATAGAACAAAATTTGAAGTTGTACAAGTATTTATATGAGTATCAACTACCAAGCTATGTATCCACCAGAAAGTTGTATCATGACAAACTAAGTAACGAACAAGAATAACGCAAATACAAAAATCTTATTGTGCCCTACAAACGAGAGATATCAATCTTCGTCATGCACAACCTACAATTATAAAACAGATGTATGAGCTTAAAGTTATATAATAAAAAAAAATTCTACACTTTATCAAAGATTAACATACCACAGTGAAAGGACAAGGCTATGCGATTGTTGCTCCAATAACGTCTTCAATTATAATAAACAATCCATATGGTCTAACCAAACGTTCCCTCCTTTTAATAGCAACCAAAACATGTACCTCACACCAATTTGGACCAATCTCCTCGCCACCAACCAATTCATCTGGATCTAAGTTCTTAACACGTCCTCTTGCCACAATTTCCATGGAATTTATGATGCTCTTAAGATGAACAACATCCCCAACCTACAAAAACATGATTGAAAAACGAGATTCTAAGATTTTATTAAAAAAAATGCACGGGAACACTTCAAGTGCAACTTTATTCTTCTAAGATTAAAGAACAATGTTCATCAGTCACATAAATACAACTTTATTCTTCTAGCTAAGGAACTACTTTACCCTAGGATTTAAGTTTTAGAAAGACACGTACCTTTAGAGGTTGAAGTTCGGTAGTAGCTTTAGGATGATTTATTGATGTCACGGGAACACTTGAATTACTAGAAATATTTTCATTTGACCCTTGCATCTCTAATACCATAGCTTTCAGCTCAGCTACTTCATTGCTAACATCTTTATATGCTCTTTTCCACAACATGTTCTCCCTATAACAGCAGAGCGACTTGGCAAGACACCCCATATATCTGAACCTCAAACACCTAGCCCATACATGTGAGCGTTGCCATGTTTGTCTTTTCACATCTCTTTTGAGAATACATCATTAGGCCCCGGCTTATCAAGTGAGCCCTCGGGAAGTTGAAAGTTAAGGTCTAGCATTTGTTCCTAGAGTCAAATAAATATCACTAACAAATAAGATAAAACTTGTGAAAACTAATCTATAGTTCAAGTAAAACTTGCATATGTAATCGGCAAATTATAAATATAACATACAATAGCATTTGCAGCTTCGACATTTTTGGCAATGCCGTTTTTAGAAAAAACATGCAACAAACAACTCCATTCGACTAGGTTCACGTCCAAACGAAGATTCCTGTAACAACCCAGATATATATTTAGGTAAATAAATATGCATATTACATCAACTATATGAATAACTACATTACCTTTAGTTCTTCACGAACTCGAGCATAACTTTTTTTCCTTGTAATTTGCATCATCTTCTTATATCCCCTACTAGTCTTATTTCTTTCACTGATTTTCTGAAAATGACATATAAGGCTATAAGCTAGAAGTGGATAAATTATATATCCATGAGAAGCCAAGTGTAAAGTTATGTCAAATCTTTGTGTGTAACTTTTGCCGAGAGGTAGTTACGTATCCATAATTCCATATACTGAATAAAAAATTTCTGTATTTATTACTCATTGCCATATTGCTTTTGTTATCACATTAGTAGCAAAACAAGCAAATTCACAAAAAAGTTTTCTAATAGACAAATGTAAAAAGAATATAACATATGTTGAAAACCTAACGAATATATCATACGTAAGACTAGCACCCGATCATGACACACTCACTAACAAGCAAACAACCAACAAACAGTCCCTCAAAACAAGAAAAAAACTAACACTAATACTTTATAATATTATTATAAAAAAATGGCTACCAAATTACGATTTTTTATAGGATTTGCCACACAAAAACAGCCAGCAAACAGTCCCTCAAAACAAGTGAATGGATTATTGATATGAAGCTTCCTGCTTTAAGTTACTGTGATTGAACTTGATCATTGCAGGCTTAATTAATTTAGTTGGTTTGGTTGTGACAACTGTAAGAAAACAGCCAGCAAACAGTCCCTCAAAACAAGAAAAAACTAACACTAATACTTTATAATATTATTATAAAAAATGACTACCAAATTATGATTTTTATAGGATTTGCCACACAAAAACAGCCAGTAAACAGTCCCTTAAAACAAGTAAATGGGCCAAGAGAAGATTGATGTTTATAGATGATCCAACACAGAGTATTGACCATAAATCCAACAGGGATTTTATCATTAATGAAAGGAACCAGAGAGAAGTAGAAAACAGCAAAAGCAACAACATATAGGTAAGCATGAATAGATCAATCCCATATTGATAAAAAAAGTCCCGAAATGGTAACATTAACAGCCGGATCAAAGATCAACATAACAACAAAGGACTGTTCAATATAGGCAAAACAGTTAAAAAACCAAAAATGAAACACAAAATACCTTACTGACAGCTACTTATGAATTTATCATTAAACTCCATTTAATACAGAAAAATCTTAAAGCAAAGTATAGATCCTTTCAGTTTGTTTTGAAATAACTCATTGTAATAATATACCTTAGCCTCTTCTTTGTTCCAATTATCGATAAGGTTCATCCATTGATCCGGACGAACTCTCTTAGGCTTAGACTTTATTTGCTCTTGAAGTGATAGAGATGGATCATAGTAATCTTTCTTTATTCTTGGCCTCCAATTTCTCACATTATTTGCAAATGATTTTAAAATCCAATCATCAGATCCCGGTGGAAGATCAAATTTTGTCTAACAAACAAGAATAAGTTAGATGCTAATAACATGATATATCAAATTTACGTCAAGTATACCTCTATAAAGTTTAGTAACATTCCTTTCTTAGTTGTGCTAACTTGATGCCATGAAATATCAACTGGACAATACTTTCCACTTCTTGCCAAAGATCCCATGAAATGACTCAAACTATTAGTAGTTTCCTTGTCAACTGGTTGGCCATATTCATTGAACAGAAGTGGAATACGATCCCCTTCTTCTTGAGCCCAAATACTTGGCATATATGTTGGCCCTCTTACTCTTTTGTGTGAGCTTCCATCAACAACTAAAATAAGAAAAGTCGATAATTTTTTAACTTCATCATTGAAAAATAATTATACTAGTCCCCAAAAGATGACACATATCTACATACACATCACATATACCTGGATCATCAATAAAATGGTCAGAGTCTATGTTATTTCTGTCTTCTTAAACTTGTTGACTACCATTCCCATGAGCCAAATTCACTCCGCTGTTCATCCTTAAAGACATTGCTAGCAAAAGACCTAACCTTCTCTATTTATACAAAAGGAGAGGGGAAAAGATAAAACCCAAAAAATTGGGGCAAAAAATTAACAAAAGTCAAAGTTAAAGTACAGTAAGGTACAAAAGCTAGACATGGCAATTACAAAATGGACGTTAACCCAAAGATCATTCAGGGGAGCTTCTAGACGTGGTTCCAGCTTAAAAGAGTTTGTCTTGATGAAATTCAGCAGGTAAATACAAGCAGTCCTCCAAAAAGACGCAATTACACCAGATGTTACTGCATGAATGTTGTAGCATAACACAACCTGCATTTTGATCAATTTAGCCATCCTTTGGTGTAGAAACAAGTAGATCATACACTTAGCTCCATAAAACAATAAAGGGAAAAATAAAGTGATGAAAATGACTCAAGATTTGGGATAAAAAGAAAATATTTATCTAAAAACTATAGAATGAGTGCTTAATACATTGAATATTCAAAGCATATAAGGAGACTAGCGCAATTATACACACTTGTCAAGCAGTTGTCATTTTAAACAAGTTATAAAAATGGTAACATACCAAGTACTAATCCACATGGAGAGTAAAATCCAAACTTTCTTAAATCAAACCGAAAGACAATTTCAAATGATGAAATCGAAGAAATATATGTGAGATGGTTAATTATAACTAACTCTAATCACTTTCTTTCATCTATCCTATAATTGATGGGATTGGCCTTGATTTGGTGGAGCTTGGTGAACCTGTTGTGAACCTTGTTCCTTTTAAAGCATCGTCATAAATCATATATATATATATATATATATATATATATTTATTTATTTATTTATTATTTTGCATCATTGTAGTTATCAAAAACATTTCATGTGTGGCTTCTTTTAACATAGTGCTAATAGATAGGCATGCATATAGATATGTAGACAACTTTGCTAGTATCATTTTTTAGAGATGCACAAAAGCCTGAAACCCTAATTGCGGTCCAAAAAGGCATTGGCTTGGCAAGCTCGAAACCAAGCCTAGGCTTGACCTTGAAGCCTGATCATCCAATTTCTTTTTTTTTTTCATAATCCCAAAAGAGCATGGGCCTAAAATCCCAAGCTAAGATTTTGATAAATCCTAATCGAACCTATTTTCACACCCGACCTTGGGCTCATTTTTTGCTTATAAAAAATGAGATTGGAAAGTCTAGGCTCTTTGTTTTGCTTACGGAAACAAGCTTGCAGGGCCTTGGCTCATGCCGAAAAGGCTCGGACCTAGTGCATCGCTATCACTTTCCATTTGTCGACTCTACATCATCTAATTACCATCGTCAACCTCCTCTAGTAACTCTATCACCTTGCACCCCTCCCTGCTGCTCTGACACCTCTTCTGGTCCCCATGCACTAGTCGTGGATAGCAAACGTTCCTTTTTCAATTGTTGACGGGACCCCACCTCCCTTTTTCTCATTCCATTTTTCGGTTTTTCAAAGTATGCAAGTTTATATTTTCTATGTTTAAATCACAAACTAAATATAAATCAAGGGCATTTTATTTATTGTGATATTTTTGTTACTTAATTTGATATTAGTACACCTTTTGCCTTTTTTTGGGTCCATTGATGAAATGAAATTAATTGAGATTTCAATCAGGAACATGATCTAAAGTGTTTCTTTTTATTAACTCCACGACCTTTAAATTGTGTTATGTCTAAAATACCTTACTACAAAACAAATGATTTTTACTCACAAAAATCACCCAAGAAATTTCCGTAGGTGATTACCGACGGACCACCGAGAAAATACTAATGGTTCAGTAAAATCCGATGTTTTTCAAGAAAATATCAATTGATCATTCAGAGAATACTTGGGTAATCTGTTACTAATATGAATTACCCGTCAACAATTTAGATACCAACTTTTGTGATGGTTTTAGTTAAGAGTCACCCTTTAGCAACGAATTTTCCAACGAATCTTCACGGATATATACAGGGACGATTCCATGGATCTTCACAAGAAGAATCCCATGGATCTTCATAAGGATGATTTCATTAGTGTTTGCTTTTGACGATTTTACATGGTGATTGTTCTGTTGTATATGAATAGGGATGGTGATTTGGCCCGACCCGGTGGGGAACCCGGTTCACCCGACCCGGACGGGGACGGGGATTCCCCGCTAAAACGGGTACCGGGGCCGGGGCCGGGGATCCCCGGTAGAGGCAAACCGGGACCGGGGCCGGGGCCGGGGCYGGGTATTGTATCCCCCGACCCGCCCCGCACCCGGTATATATATAAATATTAACATTTTGATTATTTGGGCTTATAATTGATATGTGCGGTCTGTTGGACTTATGGACTTGGGCTTTGTAATTGATATGTCCAAATTTCAATCCTCTTCTACTCTTCTTGACTAGATATGATGTAATTATATTAACACTTGTTTTAAATACATTTCTTTGGATTATTGTTAATTTTACAATTTTATTATTTTTATTAGGCAAGACTAGATATGAAGATGGGGCAGTTACAAGAATGAGAGGGGTTCAAACACATGGGAGTGGTTAAGAAAGCGGAATGGGATTTCACCGGAGATAAGGTAGGAGAGGGGTGTTTAACCGGAAAAAGGGAGGGAAAGATGCTTCATAGGGAGTGGATAACTATGTATTATATTAATTAATCTTTATGTATAATATGTATTATTTTTATTTAAAAAAAATGAATAATAGGGGTAAAAAGACGCATTTGCTCCTCAAGTGATGGGCACATGACACACTTAATAACTGCTCGACTAACGATGGTAAGAGCGGGACCAGTTTGGTCTTCAAAATACGAAAAATGGACAACTAGTGTACTTTATGAATTTTTTACTTCCTTTGTGTTGTTTTAACACATATTGAAAGTGATTAATGAATTTGTATCATTGTCGGAGAATTGGATGAAATTAGCACACTAGATGGATCCAGTCCCAACGGATCATCCTTTGGATATCCAATAAAAGTATCAAATGAATGGAACTGAATCAATCAAATCATCCATTGGATTGGATTGGATTGGATCGGTTATCCAATATTAATCAGATCAGATCGATTAGCAAAATCCAACATCCAATGGATGATTGGATAGGTTCGATTTCCCCTCACATCCAATGAATGTCAACCAATGAACAACCTAGTGTCAAGGTATTATGAAATGTGTAGAAGGCGTGTCAAGGTATTGGGAAAAATGTGTAGAGGGAGGGAACTAGAAGCGATTTGGTTTGGAAATCTGTAGGGTTAAATGATAGTTGCAACGGAGTTAGGCCGGAGTAAATTAGGGGGGATTTATGAACCCTCCAAGTAAATTAAGGGGGCTTTATGAAACCTCCAAGTAAATTAGGGGGCTTTACGAAACCTGTTGTAAAAGGCAATATACAAGTCGAGAAACTGCTTCAAAAGGCAAAGCGAGCGAGGGTTAACTTTTCCCGCCACTTCTGCTGTTGCGGAGAAGACAAGGATGGAGTTGAGCCTCAGTGGGAATGCTTTGAAGACGTTTGCCCGATCTATCACGTGTCTGGCACGCATTGGCAATGAGGTCACCCTCCAAGCTTCCCCTTCCCAGGTTCTTCCCCTTCTATAAGTACAACAATTGATTGATTCACCTACTTGGTTGATTTGAGTTATTTTATGTTTCTGATTACTGCTGAATTTGGGTTTTGGGTGTAAAATTTGAATCATTTAAGATCCAATTCGTGAAGAAGTTTGGAAGAGTTTTTCATTGCAATGTTCGCTGATACGGTTTATACTCTATATCGGCTCTCAGGACTTGTGGTGATTACATCATGGACCTACTTCTGTTGGCCAAAACAATCTCTTGTTTTATCCTTTGATATTACAAGCTTACACCTTGGAGAGTGAGAAAGCCTAAACCGGAAGGAACAAGTAATAATAGAACAGGAAAAGACGGCCCTTTTTTTTCAGTGTTGGACCCATATGGCCCTAGGGAGAGGACACCTGATATTCTGATTCGTTTTCAGTGAACATAACCTAGATTTTACTAAAAATAAGATATTTTTCTTAACATAGTTTTACCTTATTTGTGTTGGTTACTTACAAGAGGTTTGATTTAAACATACTGTTTGAAGCAGTTTTCATCTTTATGACAGACAATTATTTGCTACATGAAGCTTCTGTATCATAGTAATATGAAGGTCACTTGACATTCAAGCTTGATACATGCAAGATTATTCTTAATGATTGTAGTCATCAATCATTTGACCATCCTCTACTTTGTGGGTGGCTTCTCTGAGGGGGCGTTTGGTTCATTTCAAGGAATCAGAATGAAAATAGGAATGAATATATAAGGGAATAAGAATCAATATATCCATTTTATTATATTATATTGCTTTATATTACTTTCCATTGTTGATGTATGGTTTAAAAAAACTCATCCTACAATAACAGTCTCTCTCTATTTTTCTTCTTGTTTCTTATCCAAACTATAGCCATGAAACATCACATCGATTGTTTGAAGAACATAGATGAAGGTGGAACAATGATGAAGAACATAGATGAAGGTTGGGACTAAGAACACAGATGAAGGCTGGGACGAAATTCACCACCACCACTGCGGTTTTGGTCCCTGTGATGACCCTCCCCCAACCATCTCTGTCTCTCTTCACAACCACCACCACTCAGCAACCTCCATCTACAATCATCTGGCCATCTCTTCCCTGCTCCGATCGAAAACCCCCAACAACACCCTCCTCTTTGTTTCTTATCCCTCCCTTCACCATCGTCCCTAACACCACGCTACCTAACCCTCTAAAATCTCCGCCGGCAACAGACAGATGGGATGGGGGCTCACTCTTCCAGCCTTCACCAACACAAAACACATCCACAACTCACTATTTTATATTTTTTATATCAAGTATTAACCTGATAGGATGTCATCTCCACAAACCCAAATCTCATTCCTTCTTAAAACCCAAATTCGATTTCTATCAAGGGTTTCACAAGGAACAAATCGAACAAAATGGAAAGACGAGAAACAAACCCAAATCCCGATTCCTTCTTAAAACCCAAATTCGATTTCTATCAAGGGTTTCACAAGGACATGAGAAAATCGAAGATGAGAAACAAATAAATCGATCGATTTGTTCAACGTATTGAACCGAAGAAAATCGGATATGAGAAACAAAGAAATCGATTAGGGTTTCACAGAGAACATATCAAACAAAATCGAAGATAGAAACAAACCCACATGATGAGGAACACGATTGATTTCTTCAACGTAATGAATTTCAAGATGGTAAAAGGACTCATCTCTTCAACGTATTGAACTAAAGACGATGAGAGGTTGYTTATGTTGGAGGAGGCGATGGGATTGATTAATTTGGTTCATTCCACCCAATTTGGAGTGGAATGGTTTTTTGACCTTTCTATTATAATGACTKATTACATTAATTGTAACCAAACATCATCAATCATTTCATTTTCATTCCTTTTTTGAACCAAACTAATACAATCAATATCATTCCCATTAATTATTGTCTAATACCCCCAACCAAACACCCCCTGAATCTTTGTTGTATAAGAACGGAGTAGATTATCACATGGTCCATTTGGGAGAAGTGGTCTTGCTGTTCTTGTGCTGCATAGTAAAGTGCATAGTAAACCCCTTCCATTTGAACTCGTACCATATTCTAGTTGAGTCTCAATGAGTGGAAATGGACAACTTATAAAGTGTTCCTTCAGTCATTCTCAAATTGAACAAATGATCATAGTTGGGCATGTTCTGTATGGGTATTATTGGAGCTTGAGCAGTGTAAGGCCTCTTTCGTGATGAACATCTCGATTATCCTTTCACATAAACGCGATTTGCTACTTAATTGCATGCTTTTGACATTTTGCTTCATCTTGAACCGGGTTCACTAGTATTATAGGTAACAAGATGCTCCTTGGTTGTGCACCTTGGGGATGTTATATTTCGTACCTTAGGGATGCTATTTTTGGCTATCCAACTAATATAACTCCATTTGATGTAATTAATCAACTTCCTTTATTCACCTGCGTCAATCATTTGGGGCTCCTTATTATGTGCGTCCAAATTCTCTCTCCATCTGAATCATTAGGAATTCTTTGTGCTCATTGTTGAAAAAGATGGGAATGAGTTCCCAGTCCCTACCATGCCACATGCCATTTGTATTTGTACTCTTTCTCCCCTTAAGCTCCTTAGGTTGTTTCCCATGAGCGGTGTTCACTTGCCCAAATCTTGGCACGTGGGGATATTCCATCCCGTGGTTCCTCCATTTGGGTTTGTTTTCACCTACTGGGCATCAAGTTTTCTGGAAGACAACTTTTTTAGAGGGGTGGTAATACATCATTTTGGTCCTCTACCTATCATCTGTCTTCAAGTCAAGTACCCTTGGAATAGGTAAGACGCTATCATAAAACGTAGGTTTTGTTAAGTAATACACTTCAAAGACCATTCCATCCACATTCAAAAAACACAAACACAGGTATGCATTCTTTTTTTTTTGAAACAAAATTTTAATTGGAACCAATCTTATATTTACCATATATCTTCCTCCTTTAGTTGGTAGATCAGAGATTCAGAGGTCTGTAGCGGGAATCACCTGCTTTGTGTCCTTAGGTTTCTGGTTTGAATTTGGTCATTTGGATTATAGTTTGCAGTGGTAAGAATATTCTTTATCTTATAGCCTAACTCTGGTCGTATGTAAAAACTTTTATGGATCGAAAACTTAAATTTCATTAAGCAAGCTTGGTCCTCTAAATAGGAATAACAATCCTAATTACAATCAAATAAGGAAAACTATCAAAGGAGATAAAGGCAAAAAAGAACAGGAGAAATAAAAGGTAAGGATAACAACGAGAAAAAAAAGGTAAGGATAATAACAACGAGAAAAAAAAGGTAAGGATAACAACGAAATCCTTTACCCCCCCTCAAGTTGGAGCATGTAAGTCTCGAATGCCTAACTTGTCAAGTAGCTTGCGTAATCGATCCGTGCCCAATGCCTTAGTGAAGATGTCAGCCACTTGTACTTTCGTGTCAACAATGAGAGGTTTGATTCCTGTGATTCAACATGCTCACGGACAAAGTAGCAGTCTATTTCAACTTGTTTGGTCCTTTCATGAAAAACAGGATTATTAGCAATATGTCGAGCCGCTTGATTGTCACAGAAAAGAGGTGTAGCGCTAGTTTGAGGTGCCTGTAGAATTCCAAGTAACCAACGAAGCCACAAGACTTTACTAATAGTTGTTGCCATAGCCCTATACTCTTCTTTAGCGGAAGATCTTGAGACAACTGTTTGTTTCTTTGTTTTCCAGGAGATGGGTGCTCCACCTAAAAGTAGCAAGTAACATGAACGAGATCGTCGTGTAAAAGCACATCCAAGCCAATCTGAGTCACAATAGGCTATAAGATCAAGACCTCCTTCCTTTGGTATAAAAACTCATTGACCCGGAGTGGTCTTTAGGTAACGTAGGATTCTGACTGCAGCATCCATGTGACATTGTCGAGGATCAGAGATACAAACTGACTAAGCATGTTGACTGAATTAGCAATGTCTGGTCTGGTAGTTTGGAGATAAAGCATTCTTCCAACAAGACGACGATATTGGTTAGCATCTACCTTGGGACTGTCATGACCTTGATCTAACTGTAAATTTTGTTTCATCGGAAACAAGCTCGGACGACATCCCATTAAACCACTGTCTTCAAGAATATAAAGTGTGTACTTGCGTTGACTAAGCACAATACCATCAGGTGTACGTGCCACTTCTATTCCCAAGAAATATTTCAACGGACCCAAATCCTTAATGTTGAACTTCTGATCGAGAAAGGACTTTACTTCTTGTATCTTTGCGACAATGTTACCGACAATGATGACATCATCAATGTAAATCAAGGCAACAACAAAAACATCATTATTGTTGAATATGAATAAAGAAGCGTCAACATGGGTTTGTCGAAATCCCAATCCAGTAAGTGCCAAAGTGAACTTTTGGTACCAGTTGCGAGATGCCTGACGAAGGCCATAAAGAGATTTTCGCAATCTACAAACCCGTGTTTTTTTCTTTTTCTTGAAAAACCATCTAGAATTTTCATATAGATTTCTTCTTTGAGGTCGCCATGCAAGAAGGAAAGGAATTATTCACATCAAGTTGATGTACAATCCAATCCTTCTTGGTTGCAACAGCAAGGAGTGTTCTGACTGTTATCAATTTAGCACAAGGGCAAAAGTGTCATGAAAATCGACCCCCTCCATTTGTCTGAATCCTTTTGCAACCAATCTCGCCTTATATCTTTCGATTTCACCATCTGTCTTGTATTTTATTTTATACACTCACTTGGAATCGATGGCTCGTTTACCCTCAGACAAGTTTTCAAGGGTCCAGGTACCATTGTTTTCGAGGGCTTTGATTTCATCTTTCATCTTGCTTAGCGTGCTTAAAATGTTTTGGCTCACTGTTGGAGCTAATTGCTAACAAGAAAGCCTTATGTTTATCAGAAAATTTGTCATAAGAAAGATAGCAAGTTAGGGATTGTACCATTGAAGAAGCTTGATGGCTTGTGGGTCATGCGTGGTCCATCGAAGGTGGTAGCTTGACGACGAAATCTTCAAACCGTTTCGGTGGTGCTCTATTCCTTTTCTCTCTTTGAACTTGTGTAGTCGTTTCTGTGTCTTGGGTTACAAGGTCGTTCACGGGGTCTTTAAGTACAACTTGGGCATCTGTGGTCAACTCCTCATTAGTTTCTTCAATATTCTCCCTTGCCTTTTCAACTTCAATACCATCATCGATATTTTCCGAGGTACGAAGGGCGTCATCAGTAGTTGCATCTTTAATTTCCTAATCACTTTCTCTTATCTCTGCACAATCTTCTTTTACCTTGTCTTTGGTCACCATAAAAGGGAACTCGTTTCTACGAATTTTACATCCCTTGAGACAGTGATTTTGTGTGTATCAATGTCATATGTACGATATCCTTTCTGTCCTTGAGGGTATACGATGAAGACCCCAGGCCTCCCCCTCGCTTCAAACTTATCTCCCTTTGTTTCTTCTAGCATATACCAAACAACCAAAAACCCTCATGTGGTCATATTCTGCTTTTTGCTTAAAAAGAACCTTAAAAGGAGTTTTAAAGTTTATAACTTTGGAAGGAAGCCTATTTATGATGTAAGTGGTTGTTAAGATGCAATCTTCCCAAAATTTGATGGGTAAGTTAGCCTCAAAACTTAAGGCTCTAGCTATGTCAAGGTGTCTGTGTTTTCGTTCAGCGACACCATTTTGTTGCGGGGTGTTTGGGCAAGAAGTCTCAAAAATGATACCTTTCGAAGCATAAAAATCACTTATGAAACCCGAGGTGAATTCTCCTCTGTTGTCGCTCCTTATTCTTTTAACTTCTTTTCCAAATTGAGTCTTGATCATATTGCACAAGTTGATCAGATGATTGCTTGCTTCTGATTTGTGTTTAAGCAAAAACACCCAAATAGCTCTACAAAAATCATCAACAACAGTAAAAAAATAACGTGCCCCTATGAGCGAAGGAGTTCGATAATTTCTCGAGATATGACAATGAGTAAATCAAAACACTCAATCGTCTTAATAGAACTTTTAGGAAAAGGAAGTCTGGTATGTTTTGCCTTTACACACGAATTGTAAACACTATTATTTGACCTAGGGACAAGATTTTTAAAAAACTCAAAATAACGTAACTTGGAGTCTGAAGTGTGACCAAGTCTTTTGTGCCAAACTTCAACATCTGGTGCAGCCATCATCGCCATTTTCTTTTCTGCCACCGAATCTATTTGATAGAGACCACCCTAGCACTTAACCCATGCCAATCAAGTTCTTCTCGATTAAGCCCTGTATAAGACAAAAATCGGGGTAAAAGGTCACTGCACAATTCAAATATGTGGTTATTCGATCAACAGAGAGCAAGTTGCATTTAAAATCAGGAATGAATAACACATTTCCAATTCTAATTCCGTTTGGCAAATTGCAATTCCCTTTTCCTTTAACTGGAATGGAATCTTCGTTTGGTATGGTGACAGGTGCCTCCTGATTGCAATCTACCCTTTTTTCAAGTAGATTCGGATCACAAGTCATGTGTTCCATAGCACATGTATCAACAATCCATGAATTGTTGCCAACATTTTTACCAGCCATGTTACCGACGGGTCCTACACCTTCTTGGTTAGTGTTCTTGAAGTGCTTGAGTAGCTCCTGATATTGCTCATTCGTCATGATGGATACTTGTGTGGTTTTAGCGTTGGCAAATGCAGCTTTGGGTCGACCTTTCTTTTTCTTTCCTTTTCCAGGCCACCACTCGGGATAGCCAATTCGCCTGAAGCAACCATCTTTATTATGTCCCGTTCTACCACAGAAGGTACAATTTTCAACTTCATCATTGTCGTTGCGTCTTGCCTCCTTCGTACCGCCTTTGTTACGCTATGGTGTTGAGTCATTGGTTCCTTCCCTTCTGTTATGAGCAAAGCTTTGAAAGGCAGCAGCCTCATGTGTGGGTTTTCTTGTGGCTGCTATGGCTCTTTGTTGTTCATCTTCTGTGACTAGATGATAAGCAGTGCCAAGCGTAGGAGTTGGTTTCAAGGCAAGAAGCTGAGTCTTAATCGTTGCAAACTCATTATCAAGTCCCATCAAAAACTTGTAGAGCCTCTCCTTCGTTCAGTCTTTTTCCAACATCACATGTACACCTTCCGCAGTGCAATAAGGTGTTGGTGACTCAGTTTGTATTTCGTCCCACAGTCCTCGCATCTTGGTGTAAAGGCTGAAACAAATGTGCCGTTCTGAGCCGTGGTGGTCAAGGTCTGTTTTAGTTCATATGCTCGAGGAGCACTTTCCTTGCCAAATCTTTCTTCAAGGTCGGTCCATATCTCCGCAGCGGTGTTGGCGTATTTGACGCTTGATCTGATATCCTTCTCCATGGTTGTAGTCAACCATCCCTTTATCATAGCATCACATCTCATCCATAACATATATTGTGCCGATTCCTCTTCTGGCTTTTTGATTGAACCATTAACGAAACCGATTTTGTTCTTTGCGAACAAAAAATTCTTCATCTCTTGAGCCCAATCTTCATAGTTGCTGTCAGAGAGAACATCAGGTTTACCTGCATCTGCCTTGGATAATCAGAGGAATGAAGATAATATGGAGAATTAGGATCGATGGTGTTTCCATCGTTCTTCAGTGGCGGCGCCGCGTCATCTCCGGCCATGGCGTCGTTGATGTTTGAGACGGATCAATCAATCCTTGCTCTGATACCATAAAAACTTTTATGGATTGAAAACTTAAATTCATTAAGCAAGCTTGGTCCTCTAAATAGGAATAACAATCCTAATTACAGTCAAATAAGGAAAATTATCAAAGGAGATAAAGGCCAAAAAAAACAGGAGAAATAAAAGGTAAGGATAACAATGAAATCCTTTAGTATGTTTATTTGGCATTTCCTAAGGTGTTACTATATGCAAGTGACAAATGAGATGTGACACACGACGATGGGACCCTATAATTGGTATATGTTTTAGGTACTTTCTTCAAGAGATAAAAGGTGCTTAGTTTAAAGTTGGGGATGTCACGTAGAAAGAGAACTTCTGAGAGTTGCTAATTTACTCATTTACTAGTTTCATTATTATCATGTTCTTATTATCATTGATCTAAGACAGCTTTATCTTATCTGCCAGTTAGCTTTGCATACTCTTAACTCTTCAAGGTCTGCGTATCAGTCTATCACACTAAAACCTTCCTTCTTTGATGTGTACACTGTTGCTGGATCCCAAGTGCAGTGCAGCGTCCTTTTGAAGGTATGGTTTTATCACTATGAAATTTTACTATCTTGATTTGATATGGACATGGGGAGTTTTACTCTACAAATTTGCATGCAGGCCATTTGTTCTGTTCTTAGGACATCATTAACAAGCATTGACCATATGACTGTGCTTTTGCACGATCCTGATGCATCAAAAGTGCAGTGGACTTTGGACTGCAACAATGGTGAATTGTTTTCTTTGTTTACCCTTATGTTTTGAGATGTCATTGTGCTACTATGTATACAATCAAATACAGAATTAGGAGAGAAACTACTACTCAAGGGGTCATCCATTTTTTTTTTCACTGGCACACAGGTTTTCATAAGAATATGATGCTGAAAGTCATAAATTACTTCTGGTACTTGGTAGCAAGTAAATAGTTTAGTGTCCCTTCAAGCTTGAATGACAATTGAATGTGAAAAGGCAATTTAACATGATAAAATTATCAATCTGGTGTTGCTATCCTGACAATCTGCCTTTGCGTAAAAATGTTCATATAAAATATATACATAGTAGGACCTATACAAAACTATGCTTAGTCCTCAAATCTTAATTTCAATGATCCTATCCAATGAAACATATACTTGAATGCAAGCAACATGCCAATATTGTTTCTCTGTGCCCTTCATTTGCAATGTTCATCATTCCTCCTGTCTAGTGCCTTCCTATCCAAGTAACAAATATTGTATTTTTGACCTTCCAAAAGGTTTGTGGTAGTTATATTTCAGACTATCAAGTTGCTATATGTGTGCTTAGTTGCAGCATCTTAGTCTCATAATTTTTTTTTTATCTTAATAGTGTTACGGTAGTGTACTTGAACACACTGGAATGGTTGTGATTTCTTCAGGTATGAAAAAATCATATTGGATTACATGCAATGTTGAACCAGATGTACAACATCTCTCTCTTGATAGAAGAAGGCTCCCAAGCAGCTTTGTAGTGAGACCTCGTGACCTCAACAGATTACTAGCTAATTTTCAGTCAACCCTTCAGGAAATAACTGTCATAGCAACAGAGACCACAGCGTTACCATCTGATGCCGCAAATGAAGTTGGAGGGAAAGCTGTTGAACTTAGAAGCTATATAGACCCGAGTAAAGGTAAGTTATCCTACAAAGTTCCTTTTTTCTTCTTCTTAACAATCTCATCTTATGCAGGAATTTGCCAAAAAATTTTATTGTAGAAAATGATTCGTCATTACACACTCAGTTGTGGATAGATCCTTGTGAAGAGTTTGTGCAATATACACATTCTGGAGACCCTGTAGATGTAACCTTTGGTGTGAAAGAGTTGAAGGTACTGTGAAACATTTATCTCAAGTAACTGAAACCCAATTTGTCGTATGGGGCTAATTATTTATACGACTTAAAATATTTTGTTCATGAGTTATACACGTCAGCTTTCACCCTAATCTGGATATTCCCTTCATGTGGATACTCTTGCTGAAGCAAGAAATATAGCAAGGGACCAAGAAGGTGACATATTTTGGTTTAGGACATTTACGATGGAAGTATCCTGCAGGAAACCTACCATAAGAGGTACCCTTATTGGATTAAGAACCTCATTCTAATGTCACTCTAAGAGAGTTTATTCCTCTTCAAGCAAGAATCCTGCACAATCTACAACATCAAAATGTCATCTTAAAGGAATTCTTTTAAAGACTCATGTCATTTGCTATAATACTGTGACTAATGTTTTTGTTATTTAATTTTAATAACAAAGATTTTATATTTGCGCTTCACGTGATGGTATTGTATGAGTTCTCAACGTAATGATGTACGGACATGTAAATAACACATAGTGAATGGTTTGTCATGTATGGGTGACATGGTGAGCTCCTTTTGGACATTGTGTCCTAACGGTTGGCTACCATCATGATTCGCCATGGCTTCATGACAGCTACTATATTGTGTAATGTGTATGCCCCCTTGTTATACAAAAGTGTTTTCGGCCCTTACGTTTCCAACTGGTTTGATTCATTAATTTATGATTCGGAATCATTTGGCATGATTGTTTCACTTATATGACTCGTTCGACAGGCATTTCTTTCATTTTGCGAAGGATGTGAAGTTGACATACACTTATATTTTGAGAAAGCTGGCGAGTAAGGATTCTTTGTCCTCGTATTTACTTGGTGCGACATGCTTTTAAATTGTTCCCTTGGCTCTTCATTACGGGCTTTCAAAGTTAAAAATAAATAGAAGTGAGATGCAGTAGTTGACATGTGAACTCGGTTTCTTCTTTTCTCCATTTATGCCCATAAATTAGAGTCCACTTTTGACATTAAGAGTCAAACAGTTTAGCTTTTCACCAGGGTGTCAATAAGATGTTTTTGGTTGCAGAGGAAGAATTGATAACCACGTTCATTTATTCTCTAATATTGCAATAGGAAACATTTTGAGCAAATAATATGAAATGTTAATGTAATTTGGAACTCCAAAAATATTAGACTTGGTATTTCAAAGTAAAAGCAGATTCTATTTGTGGGACATGGAGTATTTTGTAGTGTTCTTGCTTGTCTGTGTACACATGAAACCACTAGAAACACCACTTCCCGTCCGACTTGCATGTGTTAAGCATGCCGCCAGCATTCAACCTGAGCCAGGATCGAACCTTCCATGAGATCATTTGTTGTTTCATGTAATAATGTAATGCATGAAAGTATAAACCATCAAAATTGGTGCTTCAAATTATAAAATCAGCCAGTTTGCTGGCTATCATCTACATCCATTCTACTTTGGTGATGGCTTTGTTTATTTTCATTGATTCAATTAATTCAGCCAAAAACAGATGGTGCAAGGAAAATATTTGAAATGATAAACATTTTAAAGTTAGAAAACTTAGAAATTTGCTTCTTTGTATACTGGAGTTGACAAACCATGTCTTGGGGGGATTAAACAGGCCTATTCTGATGGCACCTAAATTTGGTCTAGAGGATGCCTCAGTTTCAAACTTTGATGCCACTTTGGTACTAGCGACCATGCTGGTGTCCCAGCTACATGACAGGAGAACTTCCACAGAACTTAATGCGGCTCCTGCAACTCGTGGAACAGAGGACCAACCACAAGAGAGACCAAAAGGAAATGATTCTGAACATCCTGATCACACTAGAATTTGGTCAGAACTTTCAGGTATTGTTTCTCTCATTATTAAACTTGTGACTGAGCCATATGCATTCATGACTTTAATGTACTCAAACTTTAAAAAAAACAGCAAGTGCCACCAAAAGTGCAACCGGACCTCCTCAAGAAAGGGAAAGAGATCTGAATACAAATGGTTATGGGGATATTCAGAGGATTAGCACAATGCACATCTCTAAAGCTAGAGAAGATGGAAGAAATTTGGCGACCAACACGTATCCTAAAATTTCATTTTTTTTGGTGAACACGTGCCTATGGAATGTGAGGTTTCAGTTGCATTGTCAACCCATCATTCTCTTTAATGTTCCTATGTCCCGGTTAACTTATTGGCATAAAGGAAGTGAGAGATGATTGGGATTTTGAATCATCATACTTGGTGTTTTATGCAAACTAACCTATTCTTTTTGTGAAAATGCTAAAAGAACACTATAGTTTGCAAGAGCAAGGAATTTTGGACATTGTGGAAATGAAAATGAAGAAAAAGAACATCATATTTGATACTTGTGTTCATAATCACCCATTCTTGCAAATATAGTGAATTTTTGCAAGAAAGATGGTGTATTTATTACGTTGAAAAAGGCAGATAACTCCTTAAAGAACCGCCATTCCCAAAACATACCATGGAAAGATGTGAAATTCCTCTGAGTTTACAATGTAGTTAAGTTGATGTTAAGTATATGTTGGTGAGCACTTTCTATATTAATGAAGCAGCAAAATTTTCCTGACTCTACTTTAGCTACCCTGCAATGCAAAGAGAACATGTGGAAGAAGCTCAAGGTTAGTGACAGTCAGTAACGGATTCGATTCAATCTTCCATTGCCAATCAACTAATCTGAGTTTGTTTTTCATATGTTGAAATGGGACATACAGAAATGGATGGTCCTGGCACAGTCTCACAACGTCATCTCAGTAACTGGGTCGATGCGGATGAGGATGATGAAGAAGGGGAGGATTCAGAACCTTATGTTCAGGCAACGCCACCATATTGCGAGGAACAATAGTACCTACGAAATCTGAACGTATGGCAGACACCATCAGATCACATTAATTCCGTTCTTCTTTTCATGACGATGCATCTTCAAATGTTGTTATCCCCAAGGAACCCCTTTCGGGTTCTTTTTAATTATCAAAGGGACATTGTTCCTGTAAATCTTTCTTTTCATTACAAAGGTCTGAATCATGAAAATATATGAGCTTTCAATTCTTTGGTCAATACAACTTATAGAATGGAAGGCAAGGGACTACTCCCTATTTTATACTCATCACTATGGATGGAGTTGGTGAAGCCATGTCATCGGAGTATGTTAAACATGGGTTTCTAGTTGGCATGTGTAATGGGAATTTGGACCAATCACTTCCAAACCTGTTGACTTTAGGGGGTTAGATATGAAATATGTGTCGAAATTAGGGTATGTTTACCGAACGCTTACCTGGGTAAGTGCTAATCAAATCATATTATCTTACCGAGTGCATATGGCAAGGACCAAGAATCTTATCTGGCAAGAAAGAAGACGAGGACCGAGAGTCTAAGTGAGGGTGATGACTCTTACCACGATTAGCATTTACTGGGTAAATTGTTGCATACGATACCGTTTTGGTGGACTAAAATTTTATCTGGTAAGTAAATGATGGTGTTGAATTTTGCATGTAAACATTTATCCTAGGTAAACGTTGGTAAACGGGGCGCTACTTTCCAGAACAAAGAGGGCCATAGGTAGGGGTTTAGAAAAGAAAACCAATATATTGTGAAAATCGTTAAACATAACCAAACTAGACTCTTTTTTTTGGCATATTGGACAGTTTGGCGGTACTGTCGGTTGACAAAAAAGATATAGAATTTTTTTTTATTATTATTAACCTCGATATCCAACCCGCTATTCGAGCCGACTAATCCCAGGGCGACTACCTGTTTTGCAAATAACACGGGGTCACCGCATTTGAATCTCCGTGGCCAAATGGGGATATTTATTCCTCACTGGATTTGAACCTGGGACCTCCTGGTACTTTTGACCTTTGGAGCTAAGCTCAAACCAATCAGATACCACCCTTATGGTTAAAAATTAGAATTTTATATATTAGCATTAATAACAACATAAATGAAACCCAAAGCACAAAACATACATTTTATTAAACCATAGACAACAACACATTTCCAAAGAAAATTGTTATATAAATCTAAATACTTAAAATTTGGTAAGTTGGGAAAATAATCATGTCTAATACATTGAATTGGAAAAATTGAAGTCATATATATCATTTTTGTCACATCTCATGTTCACAATCCATTAGAATTTGTACAACTGAATCCATTGTTGGCCTTTTATTTCTGTCTTCCTCCACACAGCTAAGACCGATTTCAACCAGTTTTGCTGCCTGATGCCTGCTAAATAACCCCCCCAATCTCGGATCAATAATCTCTTCTATGCACAACTCATTTCCTTGTTGAATTGTTCTTTTCGTTACCTTTACAAACCTCGTGAGCTCTGATTCTTCTTCCTCTTCTCCTTCGTGTGCAACGATACTAGAAAGTCGAATTCCTTTTGCTAGTTCCAAAACCACAACCCCATAGCTATACACATCGACTTTTGCTGTGATAGGCAGGTTATGTGCCCATTCCGGAGCCATATACCCTTTCGTCCCTCTAACCTTAGTGAACTCCGAATTTTGTCCACCTCTCTCAAACAACTTTGCCAGCCCAAAATCTGCAATCTTGGGTTCAAATGCATGATCTAAAAGAATGTTTTCCGGCTTTACATCACAATGAATAACCCACTCTAGGCACTCGTGGTGTAAATAAGCCAGACCTTTTGCGATACCTATGGCTACTTTGAACCGTTCTTTCCATTGAAGAAAACTTGACGAAAACAATCTCTTGTCAAGAGAAAGATTTTCCACATACTCGTAAACTATGAGTCTATGTTTTTTCTCCGAGCAGAATCCCCACATTCGCACTAGATTCATGTGATTAATTTGACCGATGGTGCTTACTTCTGCGGAAAACTCTCCGCTCACATCTCCGACTCTTTTGACAGCTACCACCCTTTCGTCTTCCAAAGTCCCTTTATACACGGCCCCTGAGCCTCCTCGCCCAATCTCCACCTTAAAGTCTTGTGTCGCCTTCTTCAGTTCTTGATAACTAAACCCCCTAAACTGACTTGATATCATACGATACCCATATTCTAGGTTGACTAGGAGTTCGTTTTTTCCGCTGAAAAGCCACCACCCGAATAAGATAACCAAAGCTTCGACCACGCCAACGGCTAAAGCAAACGAGTAGAGATAAACCCATTTCACCCTTTTCTTCAATGATGCATACATAGATGGAGAACCCACCATAATGGTAATGGTGGTATCTACACATGTGGGCTTAGAACCAGCAAGGATGGACTGTGTTTTCATGCCTCTTGGTACTTTCAAATATATGGTTCCTGGGAAATTAAGAGACGTGAAGCCATTGAAGAGGGCACTTTTTGCAAAGCAGAAACCTTCACCGGTTAGCCGATAACTAAATGCTTCACAACTACAATCTCCCAAGCAGATGTCCCTACAAGCTTCAAATGAAATGGGTGAAGAGTAGTTCAGATCAAAGCCATAGTAATCTGTATGTGGCAGCTCCAAAAACCCAAAGCTTGTAGAGTTTCCACATGTTTTCTTGAAAGTAGGGTTACATCCCAGAGTGAAATCAGTAGTGTTGCTCCACTCATAACCAGGCGGGCAAGAACATTCTTGCTTTTCTCCTTGGATGCAGATCCCGTTTCTCCCACAGATTCCATGAACATCGCATGGTTTTGCGATAGCTTGCCATGAAATCGACCATGATCTAGTTGACTCATTCAAGCTATAGATTCGGAGATTACCATCATGGTCCATGGTTAGCCTCCTTTTGATCCCAAAACCCATATCTGAAGCACTAAATTGCCACCTATCGCTCGAATTAAACACACCCAAATTGTTAAAGACTGCGATTCTGCTACTGTTATAAGAGGTTCGGCCATAAATCCAAACATTAAAACCAGGATCAGGACTAGGCCAGTACACACTGGATATTTCTGGGCCATCATAAATCATTGTTAAGACGTTAATACTGTTATAGTTCAAACTAAAATGCCCAGATTCAAAAGTTCCTTCTCTCAAAGCAGATATCAAGATTTTGCTTTTTGTTAGTGTTTGAGAAGGCAAAAGAGTATCAGTTGGATAATCAAAACTTTGCCAAAGAATCTTACCTTTCGCATTCATCAATACCAGATTACCTGAATCCAGCAACACTGCTCTATTTACATCCGTGGAGGTTGTGTTGGTCTCCCACACAACCATGCCATCCACGTCGGTCAAAACCATCGCTCCGTCTCCCCGAAACGTTACCTTTGATCCACGACCATTGACGGGTGTGTTGCGGTTGGCCGTCCAAACCACAGTGCGGTCTTCAGAGTTGGTGAACCATATTGCAAACCAGTAAGCGTTGCTTTCGAAACCATAAAAGCCACAAGTAAAAGTGTTGTCTTGGGAGGTTATGAGGTCTGAATGGTGATGAACAGATAGAGAGGAGCCTATTGGAAGAGTGTTCTTGGAAGATGAAGATTTGATCAAGAGGAGAACAAGGCATAGGAGTAGGATTGCTTTTGTCATCTCATCGGTGTGTTGTTTAAAGAATGAATTAAGTTTCAAGTATGCAATTTCTCTAATCACTCTTGTGGGTTTCTCTTACTGAATTAAAACAGCATGCAGGCCAATATATATGTATGTATATATATATATATATATATATATATATATATATATATATGAAAATGGAAAAAGATTATGAATCCGTGTCAATAGGTATATTTGATGTATGACCATTTTGATTTTGTCCTGATCCTCTCGTGCAAGTCTTTGCAAGTCAAATGTCTTTGTATAAGTATATAATATAACAAAACAAGGTCTTCGTCATCATTACAAACTAAGTGCTTCCTCTCCACAATCGCTAGGTTTGACATTATCAAAGATCTCATAAATGCTAAACGTATAGTATTCTAGAAATTTCTTTTATATATATATATATATATATATATATATATATATATAAAGATCTCATAAATGCTAAACGTATAGTATTCTAGAAATTTCTTTTATATATATATATATATATATATATATATATATATATATATAATATCGGTTTAGAGAAAAATTGTCAAAATAAAAAACCGAGAAACATCATATTAACCATCCATCTAAACGATATGCACATATTCATACAAGTAATTGAAGTTATTTTATTTTTATTTTTGGTTTTTATGCATGTGTGTATACTGAACAAATTGCTTACAAATTACTTGTATACACATATATATGTCGTTTAGATGAACGATTAGTCGGTTACACACAATAATGTAAAAAATCATGAAAATCAATACAAATAATTTAAAAAGTTTGATTTGAAATTATAATCATAACTATTTAAGCATTAAGTATAAATCAATAATATATATATAAAATCAATAATTCTATAAAAAGCTAATGCGAATTTTTATTTTAAAAGGATTTTAAAAAATTTGTTAAGACATCCAAAAGTGTTCTATAAATTTCTTACTATGCTTTTACATTAGAAGGTACAATTGTCTAAACCATTTTTAAAAAATAGTCTATTAAGACATTTAGATATTTTTAACATCATATAACCTTTTAATAAAATAGTCTATTAAGATATTTAGATATTTTTAACGTTATATAACCTTTTTTTTTTAATATAAGAAATCAATTTGATATGTTAAAAACAACACTTGAATGTTAATTATATTAATTGTAATTTGTGATTTATGTTTAATAATTACAATAATACAATTGATGTGATTTTTTAAAAATATTAGTAATTAAGTGTGTCTTAGGTGCTTTTTAAATTTCTTGAACTTCACAATTCTTTTTATTTAAGTTTTTATAAGAATCTTTAAAAAAATCAATTAAAAAAATAAATGTAATAAAAATTTAAAAAAAATCCTATTTCTTCTATCTCTTATATTCTTTCTCCTTTCTCCATAACATGTACGCACACAAATAATTGAATATGAACTCAAAATGAAGTTATTGTGAACACTTTATTAGAAATACTATTATAGTTTATGAACACATTGTGAATACACTCAAAATATACGAGTTTTGGTGTATCATTTGTGAACATATTTTGAACATAAAATAAATCTAAACATACCATTTGTGAACACAACGTGAACCTTGTGTTGTGAACACCATAGTAAAAAAAATTATTAAGGTTGTTTACCTTAAGTTCAAAATGTGTTCACATTACGTGTATGACGTTATGTAAATACGGAGATTGGAGAGAGAAAAGAGATAAGTATGAAATTATTTTTAAAAATGCATTAATTTTTACTTAATAAATAACAATGATTATCTTCTTAATTATCTCATTAATTAATAACACTAATTGCTTAGGATGGATCTCATAGACCTCACATATTTTAGAGTTCTCAAATGTATATATATATATATATATATAGAGAGAGAGAGAGAGAGAGAGATGATACCATATGACTTATTCCTCACACGTCTCCTTCAATAAAATGAAAAAAAAAACTTTGAGAATCAAGAAGACTCTCAAATAGGGCTGTAAACGAACCGAACGTTCAGTGAACTGTTCGTGAACCGTTCGGCGGGAAGTTCGTTTATATTCGTTTATTTAATAAATGAACGAACATGAACAAATTTTTTTGTTCGTTTAGTTAAACGAACGAACATGAACAAGAGTCTCGTTCGTTCATTTATGTTCGTRAACGTTCGTTCATTTACTATTCGTTTATGTTCGTTTATATATTAAATTTAATATATAATCTTTTATTTATTTACTTTGAATTCAAATAATATTTATTTGAGTTCATTTAACTCGTTCGTTTAACATGTTAACGAACAAACATAAACGAACACGAACACATCTGATTTCTAAACGAACAAACACGAACACAAAGATTTTCGTTCGTTTACCGTTCGTGTTCGTTCGTTTGTTCGGTTAAGTTAAACGAACGAACATGAACAAGCCTCTGTTCGTGTTCGTTCGGTTCGTTTACAGCCCTACTCTCAAATGCATGCAAATTCTCCATATCTCTAAAACTAAAGTAATGAAGATGATAATATCCATGATTAACACCTTCCATAATAAAAATGATTAATCAATATCTCATAATTACAAAAAATGAACAAAATAAAAAATTATGATTGATTGAATGAGGTTTGTACGATTTGTACAAATAATGTGGTTTGTAGAGTAAATTTTCTCTCTCTCTCTCTCTCTCTCTCTATATATATATATATATATATATATATATATATATATATATATATATGTTAGTCCTGAATGGTAAGGCAATAAACAGAAAGTAATTGTAGAAGGGGGGTTGAATACAATTACACAGATTTTTTCAACTTTTTAATTCTTATTGATTTATATCAAGAATTAATACACACAGAAATACAAAAGATTGTATCTTACAAAGAGAAGAACTTTCAAGAACAACACAGAGAGTTCTTGAAAGGAAATGAAGAACACTAAGAATCTCTTCACACACAGGAGAGCTAGGGAGTAGCTGATTGCTTTGAGAGTGCACAGAGTAATCTTTCAAAAGCCAAGTTATTATGCATGGGAGATGCACACTGCCTTTATATACCGCCTTCAGCATTTAATGTATGGGGACACTTGTCACTTGAGGATAAGAAGGCAGGGGTTGACCTGACCAATGTTGATATCTCATTTTCATCGTACACTGCATGCATACAACACAGTTCATGCAGAGACAAACTTGCACAGTTCATGCAGAGACAAACCTTGCAGAGATATGGTCAGTCTGTAGGAAGATCTCCTTTGGATGGATATGAAGCTTCAAGCAGCTACACACAAGTCTTCGGTCCATGGAGATTTTCAATCTTCGGTCCATGATCTTCAATCTTGAGTCCATGAAGATTTTCAATCTTCGGTCCATGATTTTCGATCTTGAGTCCATGAAGATTTTCAATCTTCGGTCTATGAAGATCTTCCTTCAATCGGCTTGTAGCTTCAAAATATTTTCAATATGCATTTCAGCTACTTCGGAGTCTTGGTGTGTATATTAGACAGTTGATCCACAACACCACATCGGTGACCTTCTGTCTTGACATCGGCTAGTCTTCGATTTTGCCAATGACTTTAAGTATGTACCAAGACACCAACTTACAAAGAACCAATAACTATTAAGTGTTGCTAAGATAGAGGAACAGATCAGTGGGTCATCACCAAATCAATAGGTGACCCAACAATATAGTATATATATATATATATATATATATATATAGAGAGAGAGAGAGAGAGAGATGACACCATATGACTTATTCCTCACACGTCTCCTTCAATAAAATGAAAAAAAAAACTTTGAGAATCAAGAAGACTCTCAAACGCATACAAATTCTCCATATCTCTAACATTCTTCAAGATCAACGAATTTTTCAAAAAATTTCTACATTCCACTTGATCCTTAGTTTTTTTTTTTTTCAAATGTTGCTCAATTTTTTATCCTTGTTCTCGATATTAATAAATTAAAATTAGTATAGAAAATTGAAAACTAATAAATTATATTTAATTTATTTTAATAATTTAAATTTGAATTTAAAATGAAATTACTTTTTATAAATCAAAGAATGGAAAGTGAAGCTTTTGTAAGAACATTCATTACGGAATTTTATTGAGATTTTTATTTTATTGATGTGGCATGAAAAAAAATATGAAAAATGAGGTTTCTGGAGTTTAATTACTGTGAACCACCATTGACCATCACTGATCTGAACCACTGTCGATCATCGCCATCTGAACCACCACGGACCACCATCGATCTGAACCACTGCCTACTACTACTGATCTGAAGCACCGCCAATCTAAACCACCATTGACCATCACTAATCTAAACAACCATCGATCCGAGCCACTGCCTATCTGAATCACCGCTGACCATCTCCATCTGAACCACTACGGACCACCACCGAACTGGACCACCGCCAACCACCGTTGATTTAGTAACGTCGTTTCACTTATGGTTATATTTAAGTTGTGTCTTTTATATTGTTTTACATATTAAATAATTATTTTATTAAAAAAATTAGTTTAAAAAAAAATTAAAATTTTCAAAAAAGGACATTTTGGTCATTTACCAATATTTTATTCCAATTTTAAAACTACATTCTGTGAACCAAACAGACAGATCACAATTTCTTAACAGATTCCATTTCAATGTCTGCCAACCAAACAGGTGGTCAAACCTGACAACATTTCATTCCAATTTCTTCAAAGTCAAATTCTTTTAACAGATTTCATTTCATCCAAAAACATTTTGCGAACCAAACGCCATCTTATTTGCTTCAACAACTAAATTAAAAAATATACATTAAAATAAGGGGGAAAAAGAAGATGTGAAAATCTTCGAATTTAAAGAAAATATAAGAGAAAGAAATAATATTTGAATTCTTTTTCAGTGACAAAATATATTAAGATTAAATATTGAAGAGAGAAAATTAATATTTTAATAATATAAATAATATTAAAATTGTTAAAATAAAATATGTTAAATATAATTTATTTTGTGAAAAAGTAAATAGAGAATTGGGGTGTAAAG